TCATACGCAGCTGTCATCCGTACGCAAGGAAGTAAGCACAAGATGCCGAAAACCCTTAGCAGGATGCAGCGCACCCTTCATGCGACTCGCCGAATATCTCACGGCGCTTCGCGCTTGGTGATGTGAGAGCCTGGTCCGGCGAGAACCCGGCGTGCTCCGTCCCGGCCTTGTAGGGATGCGAGGTCCATGGTCTAACGACTGCGGCATGCACGACTATGAGTACACCCCCCCCCTCTCGATCTCCTCCGCTTCTCTTCTCACCTGGCCTTAATCGTCCAGCGGTTCTGGTAGGGGTTGATCGCCGATATCGGCATGTACGCGCTGTCCTGGCTCTGCCTCTGCACCGGCCCGCTGTTCGAGCTCCCGCGGTTAGCGTAAGGGTTGTTGGCTGCGCCGCCCCGCGCCCCGCCCCCGCCGCCGTAGTTTCCCCCTCCCCCACCGTAGTTGTTGTTACCGCCGCCTGACGCCCCCAAATGTGTTTGCGTACAGAAGCTTTTGTTAGACGGTGAGGAGCGATGTGGTGGATCACGTCCGTGTCTTGTCCAGCGTTCGATCGCTTTCTGTCCGGGTTATACACCACTTTCGGGGTGGTTGGGGGGTCACAACGCTGGCCCGACCCTCGTTTTCGTCTTCTTTCAATGGAAGTCCGCCACTACACTAGCAACGACCAACACCAGCACAGACTTGTCAATGCCACAGCAGCAACAACAACAACAACGACAGCACCTCAAGATCAACCAACCGCACCTGCGTAAGGGTTGTTCGCCTGTTTGTTGGAGGCGCCGTAGGGGTTGTTTGCCACCTTCGGCTTGACGTCCCGTCCTGCTCCGTATCCCCCGGTGTTGGGCTTCGAACCCCCACCGTAATGGCCGGTGTTATTGTTGTTGCTGCCGCCTCCCAGCTCTGGCTTCACCTGGTTTCGCGTTTACATGGCATAGCAAGATGTGGCGGCAAGTTGAACCCCAACAGGCGATTGATTGGTCCGTGATGAACGGAAAGGGATCACTTTTGCCTGCGACTCTCTCTCTCTCTCTCTCTCTCTCTCTCTCTCTCGCCCTCACTCACTCACTCTCTCCCACGCTGTCTCTCTCATTTGTACGGCCGACTCTGTCTGTTGTCTACGTCTGCATGTTTCTCTCACCCGCGCCGAAGAATCCTCCGAGAAATTGATGGGGTCGCCAATCTTGGGCGCAGGACCAGAAGTAACGTCGAGCTTCAACAGGATGATAAGCCTTTGCATGTTCCGAAAAAGGCACGGGATGTGTGTCATGGGGTGATTATATCTGCATGCAGTACTGATATAGAATGGTGAACAGTTTGGAATTGAACGGCGTATCTGAGTACTGTGATAAGTGGTGCGGCACTGCTGTGCCAGGACAGCAGGGAGCTTTGCTGGGGATATGTAGGAACACCTACAGGAAACCGGACCTTTCGATGGCTGGTTGCATAGCGTGTAGCTGGAGCACGAAGCGAAATTAAAGTTGAATCAATCCTGGAAGCCGATCTTCCAACTATCCTCAATGAATACAAAGGAAGTCTTGTACATCCACGTTCAGGCATATGCACACTACCCCCACCTTTTGTTCTGTACGACATTGACGATGTAGTCGCTGAGGGTGATGATGCACAGCTCCTTCAGATCACCGCTGGAGATCATCTCGTTCTGCTGAGTGGCCAGCATGGACTGCGCGAAGTGCTGCCCGTCAGACAGCACCAGCCGCCATCGGTCGGTGCCCGCGTTGGTCATCTTCTTCAGGCTCACCACCTAATGTTTGCATGCAGGTGTATGTTTACTTTATAGAAAACATGCATCCCACCAAAGACTACCGTCCGTTCGAGAAAATACCACAGCAGTCGAACGGCATGTGTCTTTGCAGTGGGTGAGAAGAAACCGGCTGTTGCTTTCCTTTTCGGTTGAAGTGTAACGAAATGTACAGAGTAGAGGCTAACGCCCACCGACGCTTGTTTTGTGGTAGGTTTTGTGTTGTTTCATGAGCTGGTGAGTGCCGCTAATAACAGACCAGCTATTTGTGCCCATCTCATGTGGGCGCGTGACAAGAGCCTCGGCGATGCCTACAGCGTGAGAAAGGATGACCTGAGGAGAGCCTACGGGCGTTGAAACGGCGGTCTTGTGGGGGGGTCCGAAGGTTGCGCGCACTTGCTTCCTCACCGTGCTCGATGATATTCTTTATTGCATCAAGCGCCTTCGTCTCGACATCAACACGGGTCACTGCACCTTCTTGCGAAAGGACGCGGCAGACTGGGGGGACAGGACTGCCCCCCAGCTCTCAAAATGGTCTAATTTCGAGCGTGAAAAGATCGCTCCACTCCCATACATAGGGGTCCAACAAAAATAAATAAATATTTTCGCGCGAAGCGCGAAAAGAAGGGGCGGAGAGAGACATCAAAGCAAGCGTAGATAGATATGGATGCAACCTACGCCACCACCTGAGGTCACCAGTGCACACGCTCACACCTCACCCGACACCACCGGTTAAGTNGCGCGAAAAGAAGGGGCGGAGAGAGACATCAAAGCAAGCGTAGATAGATATGGATGCAACCTACGCCACCACCTGAGGTCACCAGTGCACACGCTCACACCTCACCCGACACCACCGGTTAAGTTCAGGGGATGACTGAGAGCGCTGTTTAACTCTCATAATCATCAGCTACATGTAGGTGCTGCTGCTTGCTGCTGCTTGCTGCTGCTGTGGCTGCTGCCGCCGTGCAGGACGTGGGTGTGGTGCACTTGCTTTCCTAGCTTTCGCTGCTAGCAGCGGGCAACGGGCTCTAAAAATCGCCCCCGATGCCTCCTACGATATGTATATTTGGTCGCCCTCGACCTACAGCATGGTGTACGTCTCACTTGTCGGCGTCGGGGGTGCTTCTGTGATGGAAGTAAAGATCGCGGCCTGCAGATGAACAGACCGCAGACAGATTTGACTTGCGTGCACTCGCAGGTTCCCTCGCTTGCGCTGCTAGCAGCAGGCCTCGGGGTCAAAAAATTGCCTCCTACGCCAGCCATGACGTGTGCCTTTGGCCGGCCTTAGTCTACAGCAGTGTGTACATCTCCTTGTCTCTGTTGTGTGGGGAAGCGTCTGTGTGTGAACCTCCAAAGATCGGTAGGTTGAATGGGGTGATGCAGACGGACCGCAGATTGATTTGCGTCGTCACTCGCTTGTGCTGCCGACAGCAGGCAACGGGTTGCAAGAGTCACACCAACGCCTACTGTGTGTGTGCCTTTGGCTGCCATTGGCCAACAGCAGTCCGTATGCTGCTGTGCTGGTTGTCTCGTATGTTCTCAGCGTGGTGTGTGTGGTGCTGCTTTACAAGAGGATTTCGGGGATTCTCCCGAGAGCGTCGTGCCCATCGCTCAATCAGCTGTGTCTGTCCAACATGTTCCACATTGTCGACATGTGATTGGTGGGAGCACGGCATCTACCTGGCTCTACCCCTCTTAAAACTTCGATGAATATTTTTTGTTGTTCCGGTCCAGCATAATTGTTGCCCTACGTATGATGGGTGCTCTGCCGAAAAGATTTGTATCTACCTACGCTTTGTCTCGAGACTGCATGCCCCCACTCTTGATAAATTCAAATTTCGAAATTCTTGCGTTTCACAACTGCTGTATATACAATCAGCAATGCTGATGGCAGAGCTTCTTGTGCTGCAGCGGTACAGCGGTGCATGCTTTGAAAATGAAGCGAAAGACGGGTGCAACAGCCCCCGCTAGACGAAGCGTCGTTCAAAGGTAGCACCAAGTACAGAGTCGGTTATCCGATGCACGATGCACCCCTTTCACCGAACGGCTGGCGAACATCACAACTACGAACTGAAGTTTAACGCACTCTCCTTCGCTGAAACAACACAACAATTTTTCATGGTGCTGGGCGTGATGTTTACGGCTTCGATCCCCGGGGCAACGAAGTCCACGAGCATGGACACGCCAAAAGAATGAGCAACCACACGGGTGTTGACGCTAGGCTCCTTGCTGACCGGATGAGGGTGTGCAGGAAAGGGGCACCCCCGCCAATGACAATTTCAAATTCGTCCCTTTCCCGCGATTGCTAAACCTGCCCAACACACAACTACCACGCAGTTTCAACGGAGACGACAACCCTCTTAGAACCACGCATGGCACACTCGATGCAAATACAGTCGGTCAACGAGGGGACAGAGGCGTTGGAGCGTTTGCAGATCTAACCGTCCCTGTGGCTCCGCACACCCATCATCAAAAATAGAGTATGTCGTTCAAAAAGGTGCGTGTGTCTTGGGCACCCATACCTGAACAGTCGGGTTGTAGCCCGCCGCGCCGGTGGCCCCGCCCATGATCTGATTGATCGCACCGCGGCTGATCAAGTTAGCCATGGTCGAGAGAGAGAGGAGGGTACGTTTCACAAGAGCTTCCTTGTTTCCTGTCGCTCTTTGGGTGTGGGAGAGCGAGATGAAGTACAACCAACTCTAATCCAAAACTCCAAACAAGGACCTCCGACCCCCCTAAGGGGGCTCCGTGGATTCAATTTCCGCAGCATCGCGAGAACACGCCGCAATTCACGCACGCATCCCTCTCCTTGCCTTTCAAAGCAAGGCGCCTCACACGCCCGACCATGGCTGAATGACAGCAAGGCACCAGCGCTGGCGTCCTTCATTTGCTTACCCCAGGGATAGCCATGCATGACCAATCAAGTTCGCGCGGTGGCGTGGACATCATGGATCGCCACCAGCTGCACCGCTACGACGCAGAGAGTCGGCGCACACTACGGAAGGGCATCTCGCACTTCCTGTCCCCTCAGCTGCAGGTTCTCATCAAGGAGAAGCCGCGCATCGCTCTGGCGGAGAAGGCGTACTTCGCGGAGCTGCTGAGCGAGGAACGGTCCGGGAGGCGTATCGAGGAGCTGTCGATGGACTTGATGCGACGATCATTCATGATTCGGAAGAGGGTTGCTCCAGGCTCCGCGGCCGGCGGTCTGGCGGAAGAGGGGGGGGGAGGGCCGCCGGTGCCGCCAGACATGCCGGCGGCGCTTCAAACCACGAACAAGCTTTCCCCTGCGTTTGCAAGGAAGGTAGGCATCGGAGAATGTCTGCACACGTACAAGCTCCATTATATCGCGTACTCATGCATACTTCAATCAAAAGCACACCTTGTGCCGGAATAACCTGGAGACGACGCCATGCACGGTCGGTGCAGACTACTTTAACATGCTTGGATACGCAAAAGCAATCTATAGCTGAAACTTCTGGGGTCTACAGCGTAGGTACGCTCCAAGCTGCACTTGCTTCGGGGTTCGAGTCAGGGATAGAAGTCGGAGCTGATGGTCATCCGTGGAGAGGTTATGCTAGGCTTGGGACGATGTGCCGCATCGTTTGATTGTTCCGAGAGGAACGAACGTAGTCGAGATGTGGTCTACTATACCTACCGATGCCCAGCCGCAGCTACACCGGCGACCATCAACAAGGGCCTCTTACACAGATATCCAGAACCTGTGTTGCATCCGTGCGGCAGAAATTTGACCAAGGGTTGCTCGTCAGGAATTCGGTCTTTTTTAGCCCTGGCACACCCGGAGGTGGTCACCGCCCACGTCGCCTACTGCTGTAGAATATGGTCAACTTTTGATATGCGCAACAGCAGTGTTGGCTTAAACAGGGGAACGAACGATGTAACTCCCACTTAGATCGACGTCGCTCAAGGCTCGCGCTTGCCGAGGCCCTCGAGAGACATGACCTTGGGGTGCCGATTTTTTTAACTCGGATGGGGTTCGCATCACTCATACATGCCGGACACTTCATGGCCGATGCAACGGCGACCGTCACTCAGATTGCGCTTTGTGCCTTTGCCAGCCGCTTGTCTTGGGTGCGCAGGCGCGTTCCCTGTAACTGCCGTCAAGAGCACACGGCGTCGTATACCACCTGACCGCCGCAATGCCCTCTCTTTCTCGTCAGGCAAAGCAAGTCGCCAAACAAGCCATGAAACGGCAAAGACCCTCTAGTGACAACGGAGAGGGGGAGATGGCCTCCGCATCAGGGTATTCCTCATCGGCTTCCGCAGCAGCGCCGCTGTCCCAAGAAGCCAAGTCTCTCGTGAAGCCACTCATCTCCAGGCTAGTAGCAATGAAGTGGCCGTCGGGCTGGGGCAATCCCTTCACGACGGTTTTCAAGAAGAGCAACGCCCCGCCGCGGTACTTCGAATTCATCAAGCGGCCCATGAATCTCACTTTCATCCGAGACAACTTGAACAAGAACAAGTACACCACGGTGAGTCGCGAGGCCGCCTCGTTCTGTTGTTTTTCGCCGTGAATGCACGACCGAGGAAGGAGAGGCGATGCCCTGTTTCGTGAAGTGTCTTGCGGTGATGCCGGCGTAAGGTGCACTGCACTGCGTAACTTTAACACCATGCCCTGTTTCTATGTTCTTGCTTCTCGTGGCAAGAAGAGTTATAAGGGAACGTTTGCTGCAGGTGGTTTCAGATGTGTGCTGCGAGGCGGAATTGAGAGTTCGACCTGCTGCGCATGAAGATGTACCAGAATAATGCCCCTCCTACTCATTCAAGCGTGGCGTCTTCGCAGTATACGTTTGTTGCCCGCGTCTGCTTAGCTACGGATGCAAGGTACTGTAGTGCAGTGAAGCAAATATTCAACCATGGTTGAGCCAACTTTGACGCGGGATAAGACCCTGGACCTCGCGTGAGAGAAAACCAGACATGCTGCTGTGATGAGCTGATTCACTACAGGGTCAAAGCAGCGCGATCCCAGCTGTGTTTGAGTTTAAGCCACTGACGCAGCGGAGCACGTTGGACCGTATAATCGAAACTTGCGACTGGTCATGTGTGCCAGCGACAAAAAAGAACGAGTCCCAGCGTTGTCAATCTCGCTGTCTGATTCCACGAAGTATCCGGTGCACTGCAGGCCCTCTCGTCCGAAGGTCTCGTTGCGGGTCGCACCGCAGATTTGAGCTCTAGCGCTGGAAGCTCGCAATACAACACATGATCAACCTACATTACGTTGTCGCCATCGCCGCACGATCGCGTGCAAATGCATCGGTTGCACTGACCAACAAAAAAATTATTTCGCGTCGGCCAACCATGCCCTTGTGTTCCTTCATTTTCCCGCAGGTAGCTGAGGTCGAAGCGGACCTAGAACTCATCGTCACCAACGCCCTGGCGTTCAACCGGCCTAGCGATCCGGTCTACCAATTCGCCTTACAGCTGCAGGAAGCCTTCCGACGTGAGCTGTCGGTTATTAAGCGGAACCTCGAAGACCTAGCGCAGCAACGGGGCGGGGTTAGTGGGAGCGAGGGGGTGCAAGACAAGAAGCAAAGGGTTCGATGACATTTCTGTTGGTGCTGCACAATGTAGACTGCAGATGGGGGGGCAGGATAAGCAGCAACGGGTTCGATGACATGTCTTTCTGATGCTGTACAATGTAGACTGCAGATGGTATGTAGTGCTTTTTTAGGCGAGCGCTACGTGCCGCGTTGTTTTTTTTTTGTGAGATTTGGTAGTTGCCTTTTCGGGGTGCAAGAAACGGAATCATGGTCGTCGGGTGCGTTTGTCTTCGTGGTCGTTCCCGATGTCTTGTTGTCAAAACACGGGCTAGCTCTGCGTGTGAGAGTCTCCGAGCGCGTCGGCATGGATTGGATCTGTTTCTTTTTCATCCCTTGTTTCCCCAAGACCAACGCTGAAGTGGGAAACACCATCGTGGTCGATAGCTCTGACACACCGATCGCTGCGGTTGTCCATCCTCCATCCGGAGGAAGGAAGCGGCGTACCTAAAGCGGTGTATATTTGAAGGAGTTATCGTGGTGACGTTGTGTTGTGTGCTAGACTATAATAGTGTGCGTACACCCTGCCAGGAATGGTTCTGACTTTCTCCATCCATTTTCCCCCATTTGCCATCGCCTGGGCCTTGGTAAGGCTCACGCGAGAAGAAGTGGGGAATGTACTGTGTGTGCTTACCGTGGTGCATGAAGTGCCTCCCTCCAAAGTTCGTCAGTCAGTTCAAGTCATAACGGTCATGTGAACAGCAGCCAATAGACGCCTATCCAGTTGTTGTAGTGGAGCTAGTGACAAGAGACGGAGTATCTGCAGCAGATGTTCGAACCACACATTGTCCCAGAAGCTAAAGGTGTACGATGGCAACTCCCTCTCGAACAAGGAAGACAGGGCAGCCGCTCAACAAACCAATCAAGTGGATTCATCAATGGTTGATTACTGTATCATGTGAACAAGTCGCGTCCTACGAGCCGCTACCACAGACAGCATGGTGCTTGTAAGTCCCCTACAAACACAACGCGATGGAGCTACTAAACCGATGGGATTTCTAAACCTTGAGAGTACAGACACCAGAACGGCTTTCAACGGGAAGACAACATCAAGATCCACTGGCCCCGAACCGAATGGTCGGGGTGCACCCTAGCTTCTCGTCCAGACGACACTCAAGCGATAAGATGCCGAAATCGCAACCTGAAACTCCCGGATGATACCAGACAAGAGAGACTTCCACCCCTTGCTTGCGATCTCGAAACCAACTACGCACGTTTCCGAAAATTCATGTATTGTACTTAAAAGTTTACGAGCACTGTAAGATGCAGTATGTACACGAACGTGTGTGGGCATGACTGAAAATAACACCAACAGACCAACAAAATACCTAGGGTGGCGAGAAACCGTGCGGACTTATTACCTCTTCCGAGCCTCAAATATCCAACCAGCTTCTTCTCCCCATTCCAAAAACAATAAAAAAAACACAATGGGAGAACCGAAAATTCAACAATCGCCAAAAATCGGAACACAACAAACGCTTGTTACCGACGCCGCGAGCAAACGCCATCCTAGTACAACCGTTGCCAAGAACCTTGCGCTCTTCTGTCTTTTCAGAACAAATTGGCAGTAAGGTACCAGTAGATACGTCACAATACGCGCAGCGCAAATTACGCCTATCTAGCACCCCCAAAATAAGGGAGAAGTACCGCACGGCACCATCTGTCAAAACAAAAACACACAAAAGGATGCACTGAAAGCTTGCTCCGAACCCCCGAGTCGCTGTGTGTGTGGGGTTCCGGATGTCAAAGCTCACACATCGGAAGACACGAGACGGCTTTTTCAGCGGTTTCCGACCCACGTTTGAATCCTTGTACGCCAAGACTTCCAACCAAATAGGCCTTCGTTCACGTACGTCATACACGACGACCAGGATGTGCAGCTGTTCCGCGGAAAAAAGCCATTTCGATCTCCAAGAATGCTGTACATACGAGTCCAATTTCTTGGGGCGCACGCCCGGCCCGTTGCATCAACGGCAGAATTTTGTGGACGCGCGAAACAAGACGCAAACACGGTAGTTAACGATGCTAATGGAGAATAAAACTAGCCAAGCGCATGGCGCGGAATAGTGGTCTCTCAGGCAGATTGGCGGACGGGATACGGTACGCCGATCCGTCGCGTCAAAAAGGCTGGACGAGCCTTCTCATTTCCAGATACTCTTGGTACGGCAGCTTGTGCTTCGAGCTCTGGTAGCGGGTGACCTGACGGGTAACGTGGGTGCGAGCATGGCAGGAAGATGGTGGATCGCTTATACAATTAGCCTTATGCACAACGCACGCTGTCGTAGCAGGGTTGTGGATCCACGCGGAGCTCGGGGCACAGTGTTGGCCGCTCGCGATAAGATTCGACACTCAGACCACGTTCGTACGTGAAGCATGTGCGCGCGTTACAGCTACCATACATCGCACAAGAGGCGCAGCCAACGTTTACCAATGCTGCCACTTCTCGCGAGGGAAAAAACTGGCTGGCTGTGTCTACAAGCAGCACCGCGACTGTTGATCGTTTATGTGCATAGCGCCTCGCTGCGAGATGAACCAAAGCCAAACACGCCCTACAGCGAGGACATGGGCGGCGGCATTCACCCCGTAAACCGTCGGGCTGTTGGACGCAAAGCGCCTACAAAAGCTGGTCCGACGCTCTCCAGTCCTACCTCTACGCCCGCAAGGAAAGCGCAGTCCACCACCCGCTTGTACCCGGCCTTACGCACTAGCCGTGAGAGGGTCACCTTCCTGCTCCAACCTGGCAAGACAGCCGAACGAGGGGTGTCGTAAAACTACTTCAGCTTAGCGAAAGAGTCAATTGTCAGCTGGGAAGCGCAACGCAAGGCATGTAGGTGATGTGTGTTCGTCCTGAATACCTATTCTGGCGCCAGTCTACACTCCTCTGACATAAATCGACCCAACTATCAAGCCCTCAAGATGCAACCCGCGCAAACGCAGGGTCAAAGCGCTCTTGTTCCGCGAACCATCGAACAATAGGGGGGGGGGGG